TAGACAAACCTCTGCCTTAAAACAGGATGCAGAAGTACCAAAAAGACACATTATTTTGCTTTGGTGCCTAGTGATTTCTAACATCACTTTATTTTTTTGAAGGTGGTGAGTAAAGACTTCTTTACTCACCAATAACAAGTCTCACCCTAGAAGGGTTCACATTGTTTGCTGCCAGTCCATTCCCATGAGGAATTTGGGAGGCGGAAGAAGGAAGGTTGGCCATTGTGTTTAGGAGATACCATTACCAGGCTAAGATTTCTCAAGGACTTCTGAACAAGGAAGAGGATACTTAGTAGAATTTCCTAGATCTAGGATACAGTTTCCTGAACCGAACCTTGTTTAAGCCCTTGTATAAAATGAGAAATAATAGCTCCTTCAGCATGTCCACAACCATGTACTTTTATCTGCAAACTTGCTAAAAGCATCAGCAGAACTTGACTGAACACATCTCTCTCATGTGCTCATCAGCACAATTTCTGACCTTAAGATGCATGCTCAGGGTTGAGACATATTGCCAACAAAACTGAAGTTCTATTAGCATGGTTGGGTTTTGTTCTGCTTTTATAAATCTTGCTGGCTTCTCCTATGCAAGCAACTTCCTACGAACACATAAAATGATGGCTTCAGCTCTCTTTCTCACTTAACCAAAACCTAACTTCTTTTTCACCCATATTCCCATGAGTTATCATGCTATGCTCCGTTAGGATGTTTAGAAAATAAAATATAATGGTGGTAAGATCTCCCCCCCCCCCCCGATCTCAACATTGCTTCAGACAAGGTGTGCATAGACAAGTCACAGGAATGCCATTACAGCTGAAGAGACTTTAAGGAGGAAAATCAGATTAAATACATGCATTAATATCATCACTTAATACTGTCTTAATGTAGGCGTTCTTCCTGCTCCTATACTTGTGCTGACGTCTCTCCGAGTCATAGGTATAAACAGTGCCAACTTGAACTGATTCTCTTTACCAGTGTTTCAAATATATCTTGGCCCTATAGTCAAAAGAAGCTGTTTTGCACAGCATGTCCTGGTGATCTGCTTAAAAGGCCACTGCCAACACCTTCAGGCTTGCTGTGCCTCCTACAACAAGTCTGTCGGAGTTCCTGCTAGGCTTCAGAGCAAGAGGTTTTTTTAAAGTTACAAATACGTATTTCACTCCTCCCCAAAGACATTGCTTATCTCAAGACTACACTAAGAAAAGATATGTGCAACATTGCAATCCCTAAAACATATGCTTCAGTGGCTTCAATTCAGACATCACATCAAACCATGGTATACCTAACCAAAGTCTGAGTGCAAACCATAGTCTGATATATTTTTAAAATACCATGGCTTTAGAGCTGCCTGACTGCTTTTGTTTTTCATCTAATGTCTAGATGCAACAGGCTCTGGAGACAGAGCAACAACCATAACTGTTGTTTATCAATTCACATATCATGCTAAAACTACAGCTAAGTTTCATTAATCATGGTTTGGTGTGGTGATGGAAATGATCCCATGAACTGCCTAATCTAGATGAATAGACAGCAAGAAACACAGAACATACTGTTCTAATTTCCCTCAGGTATTTGTTCCAGATCACCCGCTGAAACTTTTCAACCATCATATCCTGGAGCAAATGTGAAAGGCCTGCATAAATTATTTGTAACTGGAAATTGCCTTACATAGCACCCACTTCAGAGCAAAGATACCCCATGGCACTCAGTTTTTATTAACCAATGTTACCCACCCAAGCAGTTAAGTAATTCATTAACATATTATAAACTGATACTTACAGCCATAATTAACTCAAAGGGCTTCTTATACACCCTCACGGGAGATTGGTATTTCTGCACCATGGTTGCACAGAGTTAGTACTATACAGATCTGGGAAAAGAGAACAAAAATAGTGGGAAGTAAATGCATTTATTGACACTAATTTAAACAGTAACCATGGAGACTTTTTGCATGTTCCTCTTCATCACCAAAATTCCACATCCTGATGACATATGCAAGATGATTTTAAGGACTGAGAACTCAAGGTCAATAATTTCTACTGGTGGTGCTACTATCAGAATACGTTCACTGTTGACCATGTTTAAAAAGGCAATAGCCAAGGTCATTACCATCCTGGAACCTGAATAACTATACTAAGTCATAAATTAGTATCATTTACATGGGCTAAAATATGTGTGTTTGGGGGAGGGGTACTTAATCTACTATTTTAAGCAACACATTTCTGGCTCAATTTATAATTTCACATTCAGAGGAAGTCAGAACATCAGCAGAACACACTGCACAGTTACTGATACAGACCAGGAACAGGCATTACATCATCAACCACAGGAAGTACAAAGCAATATTTGTGCTACACATGTGTTTTCAGCCATGGCATTTCAAGGTTGTGGTCCTCGTGGTTTTACATAAGCTTGAATACACTAATAAATGCATTTGAAATAATCAGTAGTCAAAAGGCAACTAAGAATGCAATCCTACACCCACGTATTTCCAATCACGTCTGCAAGGCTCCCTGTATTATACTTGCACGTGCCAGTTCCTTCACATAATGGCACCTGGACCTTGGGAGGTACCAATTCTATATCTTTACTTAACTCCAAGAAGCTGAAAGTCAGAAAAGGGTTTGTTCATCTCATCTCAATGGAGTAGGTTATGTTACTTGACAAGTGGCAAATACAAAACCTTATAACAGGTTTCTATGCTATGTGCTGCTATATTCAAGTAAGTTCCTCTGAAAAGGAAATGGGGGGGGGGTACCTTCCAAAAATCCATTATGTTCTCATACTAAAACTAGCAGATCTATATAATGTAAACAATATATCCACAGACTCAACTACTTTAACTGGAAAATGTAGCAGGCAACTTCTTTTTAAAAATGGGACAAGGTATATTGAATATAATGGGGAAACTAGGAATAAGATTTTATTCTTTATTTATTGATTTTTCCCATTAAAGTGGCTCTGAACAACATCTGTTTTTAGCAAAAAGAAGTCATAGAAAGTATGGAAATTATTCAGTATACCTAGAATAAGATTTTTGAATTAATATCTAAGAGTGACACATTGTCAAACTGTAAATAAAAAACTATTTTGAAATCTGAATGCAACATGGGCTAATTATTAAAATTTAGCTCAGCCTTTCCCCAAGACTCAGGGCTGGTCCCAATCATTTTAATACACAGGAAATATTTTAAAGTGACAAAAAGAACAAATAATGAATATTTCATTCTTATAAATACAATAAAGATTGTAAGTAGTAAAATAAATACCTTCCAGGCATACATTTTGTATATGTTTAGTTAATTTACTTCTGCACAAGCACACAGAAGCTGATGAAAAATGCAATGCTCTACAGATACTGTAATTAATTGCCACTAGGGCACTTAGTAGGAACGCCCTTAAGGAATTAATGGGACTGAATACTACTGCCTGGTGTGTATTGCTTAACAATCAAGACTTCTTATGCACACACACACACAAGAATGTACACAAATCTTGTGTACACAGCTAACATAAATGGATGTTAGGAGGCCATTCTATTTATCATTTATTATTTGTCCCGCACCCATCTGACTGGGTTGTTCCAGCCAGTCTGGGTGGCTAGGACCAGTTTCTATAGCTACAGAAAAAAGTCTGCAAATGGCTGCTTCTCCAAATTAGCTTCAGAATGCCAATGGAAGTTAACAGTCTCTTCCAAGATTCCAACAATAATTCTGTAAGCAGCTAAAGGGAAGAATGTTGGAAGAAGATCAACTCCCTGCAACACAGTGATTGGCTTGTCAGAAAGCCATCAAACCATTATTCTTAGGAAGCTAGAAAGACAAGAACTACATGAAAAGAAAAGTTTGGTCACAGGATTTTTGACACATCTAAGCATAAAAACCCAATCCAAATAATGATAAAGTACAGGCTTGAAACAGTTTTCTTTCCTCTTTCTCACCACACTTGCAGCCTGCAAAGCAGTCTAAAGCAGAAACAGAAAAAGTCACCAAGTGTGACTAAGTTTGGGGTATATTTATTCTGAATTCATCTACCACAGACTCATAAAATTAAGTGACTTTAGTAAATTTAATAATCTCCTGTGCACTGTAGCCCCTTTCCAGCAACTGAAGTTGAAAAGGCAGGTTTTAATGAGACTTTCCCTAAATTTAAAAAAGAGGGGAACGGGTTTAAAAACCACAGAAGAGAATCGGTGAGGAGGGAGGAAACTTCCCAAAGATTTGGCCATTATGTATCTGACCTATTTGGAGGTAGGGCAGTTTTAGGAGCCAGTTAGGGAACAACTGCCTAACTTCAGAATAGGCAAGCAGAAGAATAGCATAGGGAACAGAAAGCCACAGTGGGGGAGTATGGTGGAGGCTGGATGAGAAAGAAAGAAGTATTCTGGGGCAAAGCAAAGGGCACTCAAGTAAACAAAGCCTGAGTCCGGGGTTAATAAACTGAGAAGAAAATTAAAAGAGGAGGGAACAGCTGAGAGCTGCCAAGGGACAAAGGGGAGAGCCAAGGCTTTTAAGGACAAGCGTGGGGAGAGATCAATGGGAAAGAAGCTAGAGAAAGTCAGCAATGGCACATGCGGGGAAAGCTGGAAGAGGGAATGTGAATGTGAATGTGAATATGGGGAAGAGGTAGAGTCTGGGTACCAGAAAGTGGTGGGTGGAAGGGAAGAGTCAGGCAACTAGAGGAAAGGATTGCGGAGGTAAAAGGTACGATGCACTGAGAATGCTGAGAGTCAGGTAGAAGTGGGAAGCCGGGAACAGGGAAATTAATAATAATATCCCGCCCATCTGGCTGGGTTGCACCAGCTACTTTGGGGCAGAGAGATGGGGGGGGGAATAATCCTCAAAAGAGGCATAAGCCAGAGGAAGAGAGGGAAGTCGGGGTGACCGAGGAGAAGTAAAAAACTGAGCTGAGGAAGAGGGGCGACCCCGAGATATAAGGCGAGCCAGGTGTGGGGCGACTGGGGGGGGGGGCTAGGCCGAGGAAAGCAGCTGAGAGTAGGCGAGGGAAGAAGGACCGAGAGGAGAAGGCGGCGGAGGAGGAAGAGGATGGGACATGGCCAGAGGTGAAGAAGAAGAGAGAAAAGGAGGCGCAGGGGGAGAGCGTATTCGTGGACGGGGGGGGGCAGCCGGGGGAGAGGAGCACGGAGGGTGGGAGTCAAAGGGAACTGGGGGGGGGGAGAGAAAAGGTGCTTAAAAGGGGAAGGGGAACGGGGGGGCGGCTGGTGGGGGTGAAGGGGGTCTCCTCAGGGAGGGAGGGAGGGGACGGGGTGGGGAGAGCAGCCCGAGGAAGGCGCCGCTGTGTGGGGCAGCGGCGAGGGAAGCAGCCGAGCGGATGAAGAGGACCGGAGGGAGGGAGAAGCCGAGCGACCGGGGACCCACCTTCTTCTTCTTCTATCGCCAAGGCCGGCTGGTCTCTTGTCTCATGTCGGCTCCCTGCTCGGCTCCCTCCTTCGGGTGTTGCTGCCCCCGCCGGTTCCGGAGGGGGGGAGAGGAGGAGGAGGGGAGGGGGGGAACAGAGAGCGGAGACGGCCCGGCTCGTTGTTAGCCAGTGACGGAGCAGAGGAGGGGCCCGGCTGCCTTCCAACCCGTGCGCCTGCGCACTGTGAGGAGGCGAGGGGACGCTCCACCCCGCCCCTGCACCTCCGTCTGCGCATGCTCCCAAGAGGCGGCCGCTCGCGCAGGCTGTGTGGAACGCTCAGAGCGAAGGTGCGCAGCTGTTTTTGCGCAGCAAGTGGGGTCGTTTCTACCGTGTTGCTGTGGCAGCTGATTGCTATAGAGAACGCCCCTGAATGGGCGCAGTCGATCGAGCATGGCTTTCGTCCACCGGCAGAACACACGGAACATGGTGCAAAAAATCGCACTTTTATCTGAATACCGTGCATCCTCCGAACCACAAGTGGGATTGTTTCGGTTATAATATCCCCCCCTTTTTTGTGCTGGCTCTATACTCCGATCTGTTGGTATTGTTATTTTCCCCCACTCCTTCTGTATATCCGATTCATTCATAACTGAAAATCAGTAAAACTCAAAGCAAAGGTACAGGTAAAGGTACCGCTGACCATTAGGTCCAGAGAGAACGCCACTACACTTTCTGGAGCCGGCTCACTCATAAGGCAGGCTGAAGTAGCTGCCGCCAATGTCAAAAAACCCCTCCCAACTGGTGGGGGCAGGGGGCAGCACTTAAAGAACATAAAACATCGTAATTATGTGTGACACAACATCACACACGCAAAAACTCTTGTGTTCATTTGTACTGCATATACAACATATCAATCTGTTACTTTTAATTCATTTTAATGTGGCACAGTACTGTACAATAATATGCCGTGCATAGTGTTATGGGTGGGGGACTGAGCTGGATGATCTCTTTGGGTGCCTTTCAATTTGGGGGGTTCTGTTAGCGTTAAACAGGTTGGACAAGTTTCGCTTGGCAGGTGTTATTTGTTACAGAAACTGAAGACGGGTTGCTCTTAATTACTCTCCGTATCAGTGGCCAGCAAAGATTTCAATGATCTGCCTCACCCCTGCCGCACGTGTGTGTAAGTAATAGACCTGGAAAACTGAGTGGATGCAGTGAATTTTGGGTGCCTACACTCGACCTGCATATTTTCAAATAAACACCAATATTACAAAAGACCAGTAAGCCTCCTTTGACCTTATTCCAAAGGAAATAAAATCTAGGTGCTAAACCCATGAAACTCCTCGCCACTTGGGGAATTGTGGTAAACAATATTATAATTCCATAATAAATTAGCGCAAGCTGGATTTTGTTTGTTTTTAATGCCAGGATTCAGCCCTAGAGTATGTTAGTTTTAAATAAATTAAGAGCACCCCTGAGAACAGATCATCTTTGCCTTACCATTGAAAATCTGAGCTGATGGAAGTAAATTTCCATGTAAACTTCAGCACCTGTACCTGCAGTGTTTTTGCTTCAGTCTGCTCCAGTCCAGTGCTCTTCATCCCACAGCCAAAACATCTGAGCCTGCCAGTTTTTAGTGCAAGCAAACACTATTCTTATAAAACTGCAAGCTTCAGAATCTCATTGCATCATCCTTGGAACAGCAGAGAGTCTGCTGTTTTCAGAAAGACTTGTGGGAGTTAATCCTGCCCAAAACACAGCTCTTCAGGAGGCTGGTTTCTTTCTAGTGTCACAGGGCAGGAAGAGTTTTGCTTGTCTTAACACCCTATAGCAGGCCAATTTGCATGGGCATGTTACCCAACTATTCACTGGGTCAGATACGTGGGAAGGAATGTCTCAGAGGCACGTTCTGCAGGAAGCATTCTTATATTTGGATATTTTACTTGTGTGCACTTGACTGGGGATTCTGGGACATGTTCTGGCGTTTGCAGTCTAAGTCTGGTGAACTTAGCTGTCAACTCATGAGAGTGAACCCTAGAACACTCCCAATGCACCAACTGGTTCTGCGTTTTGGAAGAGAAGCTTGAACCTGGTGAACAAGCTCTTTCAAGTTGCCCACCATGTTACTGAGCTTCTAATTAAGCAACTTCTGTTAAGCTTCTGCTCAAGTCCAGAGTTCCTAGGAATGCAGCTTGAAAGCTCAATTCCGTATTTTAAGAATCGGTCTCTGTGCGTTACTCAAGAAAACAACTGTAAACAGTTCTCATGCTTTTATGGGCGGAGAGGCGAAATCAGTATTTATATTATTGTTGGGTCATTTTTTGTTAGCCTCAAAGAAGGAGCGAGTTTTGTTTTGTTTTAATTAAATATTAGCCAATGTGTTTGTCTGTAACCAGAAAAGGGTGAGTGTAAACTCTGCAGACTTTGAAATCAAGCCATAATAATATTTTTCCAGACACAAACTTTTACTGTTTATTAATGGCTGTTGAGACAGAATCTGGCATGAGTTATTTAGGTTGTGACTCTCACATGGTTCCTTCTCACACTGCCAGAACTGGGGATTTGGTTTGTTGTTCTGTGCAGGAATTTCCTTAGTTATTTTTCCTTTCCCCCATCAGAGGTTCTCAAGCTACTGTTAACAAATTCTTCCTCCAGGGTAATGAATATTTGACTTGTTTTAATATATACATATGCTCCAGGATTATTCTTAAGAAAAGTGATTTACTACATTGTAGTCTACTAATTTATCAAAAAAACAAAACAAAAACCCAATTCCTGTGCCTTTAATAGCAGCTTAAAACCATAAGAACCACCCAGCTGGAGCAGACCAGTCCAGCAGTCTCTTCCCACAGTGGCCAGCCTATGGGATGCCCACAAGGTGGGCATGAACACAACAGTCTACTTGTTCTCCTCAGCACACAGCCACTGCTATTGGAAGTAAGGTAAGTTTGGGGTGGAAGAGCAGGCTGTAGGCGAGATCCTTCTAACCCCTGGATTAGAAGCCAGGCTACCTTCTTGTGTCGAAGAGACAGCCTAGGAGATTGGCCATTAAGGGAAATAAAGGAAAGGGGCTCTGTGAGAGATGGCAAATGGATGGGGCCCCTTCCCCCAGCGCATGGTTTGAAATGCAAAAGACCAGGGTAGAAAGTGTGTGATGCAAGCCAGAAGTTGTGAGAGCAATGTTTTATTTCTTTTTGAATCCAAGGCTTCCTGTGGGAAAACAATACCATTTTGGGGTGTAAATGCTGTGAATCCCTCCATTGTTGGTTCAGGTTGTATATATGTGTAAATAAACCATATATCATAAAGACACCACAGTCTCTGCTGTGCCTCATTCCAAAAGGAAATACCCTGGGTGACAACCTGGAACCTCGCCCCACTCGGAGACTGGGGTGGCGTGCAACAGTGGCCTTGCCCTCTGAATTTATCCGAGCTCCTTTTAAAGCCAGCCAGGTTACCTGCAAAAACCAGCAGATGAAACCTTTCATGATAGTGGCATGAGCATCATTATCTGCTAACGTCTGCAGATCAAGCTGTTGAAGGCAAATGAGCAGGGGCCTGTTTAAAAAGTTGGCAACATTATCAGAGAGCAATGTGGAATGGTGGAAATTTTCCAAGAGTAAGTCTCTGATTGTTCAATAAATACTTTAATCTAGAACTGATGTTTAATAAGCCACAGTATATATATGCAGTCCCAAATTCTCCTACTGATTGTATCCTTTTTATGAAATCACTTTAACTAGTTTCTCAAATTACTTTATCTTTCCTTATCTAAGATGTTGTAATGAAATGAACTCAATTCTGTATGAAGGATAATACAAAAGGTTCTCAGCATTATACTGTAATGTATAATGATTTTTTTGGCATAAAAATACATGGCATTTTGGTTTTCTTTATTCAGCTCAGGGGTTTATAGTTCTTTGTCTGCCCTGATTAAATTATTCTTGGGCCATATGTGGCATATTTAAAAGATCAGCTTGTGAATGGAGAGGGAGATTTTAAAAGAGAAGACAACTCTATAGATAGCATTTTAACATAGCGTTAACATTTGTGTGTGTGTGTGAAGTGTACGGAAAGTAGTTTACCATTCATCACTATCGTAAATATCCCTCCCCTGATTCTAAAGAAAAACATTTTGATTTAAATTTAATATGTTGCAATAAAACCTTTCCCGGCTCCCTCAAGAGTGCAGAGCGTTTTGTGAAAATAAACCCATATTAAGCAACTCTTCTTTGCTTGCAACACAGAATTAGCAACACAGATTCTCATTATGTAGTCATTTCCTGAAAGTAGGACACAAGCTTCTGAAAATGGGCACTTTTCCAAATCAGCAATTTCTGGATTGGCATCAGATAACCTCAGCACATTACATCATCTTGCTGTTGCGTATAAACCTATCCAGCCAACACAAGGTACCTGTGGCTTCTCATTGGATGGTTGCTTGGACAGATTCCCTCCCTCCCTCCTTCCAGTTAAAAATTGGCTTTAGCTTCCTCTTTGCTGCAAATACCTGGAAGTGAGAGGAGAAACAGTTTGCCTTAGGGTAGGGATGGGGAATGTCAGTCTGAGGGGCCAAATGCATCCCTTTAGGCTGGTCAAGTTTTGGTTGGAACTTTCACCAGGTGCTCCACTGCCACTGCTCAAATCCTCGTGTGTTTTTGCTTGGCTGGATATGTCCCTGTAGTCTGATAATGATTCTTTCCTGCACAGATGTGTGTGTGTGTGTGTGTGTGTGTGTGTGTGTGTGTGTGTTTAGAAGCTAGCCTACAGCTCAAAAGTAAAAATGGCATTTGTTGCTCCTCACACTTGTCTCTTGAGAAAAAGTCCACTGACATATCACCCTCAGATGGTGGTCCAGAAAGCAATATGGACTTCTCAGGCTAAAAACGGTTCTGGGGCAGGCGGGGGCTTCACCTGCGCCAGATTTGATTCACTTATTGTCTCCCTCCCCTCACTAGCCTCTTTAGACGTTTCAGTAGGAAAGGTACTCTAACCTTTGAAATTCTCTTTTTCTATTCATTCAGTGCTGTTATATCTTTCTTTCTTTTACATGTGGCAACCAGAACTGTGCACAGGATTCCATGTGTGGTTATGCTATGGATAAAATGGTGCGACGATAACTGCTGTTTATGTTTTCAGTCTGTTTATAAAAGTTAACTTGCATTTTCTTTCCCCTCAGCTTCTTGTACTATTTCTGCTTGGTCTTCATTCATCCGTTTCCATTAAAATTATCATGGACAGATCAAATAAGTTCAGATGCCAGCATTCTGCATTCCCATCTTCCAAAGTCAATGTACTATTGCCCGAAGTTTATGCAAAACCAGAAGTGGCATGCATCTAAGCCCCAAGCCTGACTCATGGAGATTATGAAACAGGGTGAGCATGTGGCCACAACAGCCTTGGCAAGCCAAACTCCTATTTCCATCCTGCAAAGCTAACAAGCAATTATTGCCACGGTTTCCAAACAGATGCAGAATTAAGTGCCATCATTCACCAGGATTAATGAAGCCGCAAAGCATCTTGCTGACATCAAAGGAAATGGCACATACACACAAATGGAGGAAGTTTTGATATAATTTAAATGAAATGTCAGTTCTATAAATGTAGGCCAAATTGAAATTTTCCCCAAATTTGAGATTTGGTTAAAATAACAACTATACATGGTGAATAACAGCAACAACCAGGGGAAAGAAAGACATAACATCTTACAAGGACAGGAATAAACACCATGGACAGAATAATCGCCACACCCAGGAAGAACAAGGATATAGTCTGAGTTCCTCACTTGTAATTTTATAAATCATTTAATGTGTCAACACGAATAGAAGTTATTAATATCGCAATTGTTGTATAAGTGATTATTATTATGACCAGAATATAATTGAAATTACTAAGTTTTTGCAACACAGAAATAAAGAAAATCATCAAATCATCAAATCTAGCACGCGGGGGCCCACTTTATCTAAATTATATAATTCGGTATTTGAACGATTGGCATTAATAACTGTATTATAAATCGGTATTGTTATAATGAGGCTATTATTGGACTGTAATTGAAAACTAACAAAAATATTATTAAAAAATAAAAACTATAAAAAACACTCCCCTCAATGTTACATTCAGTATTGTTTTTTACAATGGAACTTTTGGAATCAAAGTTTGAGAGATATTAATTATTACTAATTTTAAGTGTTATATTTCAAGTTGCAGAAGCTTTACCACCCCCAAAAAATCACCTGGGTGGAATGGGAAGACTGTGGTGCTTAGCAGAATGAATGGTTTGAAATAACATTGCTGCATAAAAATGAATGAATTTAGAATGACAGCTCCAGACAAAACAGCTTGCATGGAAGCATCCACCATTTGGTTCTTTCATCACCAACAGCAAACATCTCTCTAATTGTCATATGTTGGCAGATGACAAGAGCTAGGAGAACAAAGGTGGGGGACACAGAATAAGATCAAGATTTCAACATTTCTCTGAAGTTATATACAGGAGGGGGGGATCCTTTCCTGTCTTGAATTCCTTCAGGGATTAACAGTACAAACATTCCACATTTCTTTACTCGGTTCAGTGGTCTGGGTTCAGTAAGTTTCTATGAAATGCACAATAGAGCTCTCTCTCTCTCTGTCACACACACACACACACACACACACACACCCCTTTTACCATTTGATAATGAAAACTTATGGGATATAAAAAAAATGTGTTCTGCAATTGTGTTCTGCAATTGGAGGGGCCTTCTGAGAAGAGACAGAGGCTGAGTGAATTATCAGAAGGATGTGAGACCCAGTGCCACTCCCTAACAAAAGTTGTGGATGAGGCCCAGTAGTGTGTGTTGCCCCCAGAAGGTTCATCAACATCACTTAGCTTAAAGTAAATCATCAGAGGCTGTAGGAAAATACCTGACTTTTTTGTGAGTCACCTTTTGTGGTTGTTCCAGTGGAATACAATGATCTTGTGAGCAACTCACGCAAGGTTTTCCTAGCCTCAGGCTTCTCAGAAACTGGGAGAGGTAGTCTGGGGTGGGAAGCCCCTCCACTTCATGTGTGACCAAAAGAGAGAAAGAACCACCTGAACTAAATCCTAACTCATTGAGTCTGAAGCAGAACGGGATATGGTCGGGGGAGCCGTAAAATTTCCACTTAAAAACTTCCTGCCCAACTCCTTCTAATAAACCATTAGCAGCTCAGCCATAAAAAGAGGAAAGTCACACAGAGAAAAGCTGAAGGATATAACATTTATAAATTATGTACATGAAACAAATGTGCATGTTATGCTCATTTTTGTATTGTTTAGTTTGTGTCTTTTAATTGTGGGGAGAACAAAGGCACTTCACCTGAGCGCTGGAAAGCATACTTCCCCAAGCACCACAGACCACATACTGACTTTTGAGAGCTCCTCAGGAATGCCTCACACTTCTCAAACTATGATGACTGAGAAAAAGACAGCTGAGATGGTCAAGAAACTAATGCGATCACACCCAATGCCACAATCTATAGGTTGTCTGTGCTTCTGTGGAATACATATCTATTACTGTACATTTCTAGTAGGCTCAAAGCAAAAGCAGCCATCAGGGTGGGCGGAAGGATATTAAAGCTTTTATGTTTCTTTTTAAACAAAATCTTTGCCTTCCAGTATGTTCATTATCTTTGTATCCAGCTTTCCGAGGGCAGACAAATTCAAGGTGGCTTACAAGAAGCTTGTTCACCAGTATAATTTGCTGCTCCTGAGACTTCTTTTGTGCCAGGAAGCAAAATAATCACATTCCCTTTCAGAAACTGCTCAAAAAAAGAAGAAGTCAACAATTGGCAGGAAGTTAATGGAAAGGTGGCTGCTGTATATTTTGCTCCTTACCTCAGTCCTGAAGATATCTCTGGTTTACAAGCCCAGATGGAAAGTTACCAGCACTGAAAGCAACATACACATTAGTGGCTTAAAACACCGTGAGGCAATTTCCCTTCTGCTGCATTTCAAGGGATATTTTTACTTTGCTGTCCAGACCAGAGAGGGGGTGGGGATGTCTTTACCCGATGCACGTTACCCAATTTGTTTCTCTGCACACTCAGACACCCAAACTCCAACAAAGCTGTCATCTGCGCATACAGCAAAGGATATATGAAATGTACACACCTCAGCTCAGTGGCAGCTGACTTTTTCAAATCAGATGGAGACTGCTTTAAGAGGAAACGCATCAAATGGGTAATTCTCAAGAAACTATAGGATACAAATGGATTGCGGTTAATGTCATGTATACTCAGCTTCAAACACAAGCGGTGAGAAGGCGAAGAAGCCGGAGTAAGTGGTAATGTGGATGCAGCCACAGATGCAAAAACATCACTGGTGTCAAAAGTGCAGTTGCTGGAAGTTCAGAGATGCTTGGTAAGAAAAAAAGAAATTAAGAATGATTGTTTCCTGGAAAGTATGCATGCTGGAGAAATATGGTAGATAATTGCACCTACAACGCACACCCAAACCTGAGTTCTAAAATTAGAATTTCCAATTCATGAAAGCCCCTTCATGGATCACTGCCTTGCCGTGGCGAAGGGGCTTGAATAACTCAGAGAAGCTATGAGCTATGCCGTGCAGGGCCACCCAAGATGGACAGGTCATAGTGGAGAGTTTTGACTAAATGTGATCCACCTGGAGCAGGAACCGACAAGCCACTCCAGTATCCCTGCCAAGAAAACTCCATGGACAAAGACAACAGGCATATAAAAGTTATGACGCTGGAAGATGAGGTCCTGTATAGTAAAAGCTATGGTTTTCCCAGTAGTGATGTATGGAAGTGAGAGCTGGACCATAAAGAAGGCTGATCGCCGAAGAATTGATGCTTTTGAATTATGATGCTGGAGGAGGCTCTTGAGAGTCCCATGGACTGCAAGAAGATCAAACCTATCCATTCTTAAGGAAATCAGGCCTGAGTGCTCACTGGAAGGACAAATCGTGAAGCTGAGGCTCCAATACTTTGGCCACCTCATGAGAAGAGAAGACTCCCTGGAAAAGACCCTGATGCTGGGAAAGATGGAGAGCACAAGGAGAAGGGGACGACAGAGGACGAGATGGTTGAATAGTGTTCTCGAAGCTACCAGCATGAGTTTGACCAAACTGTGGGAGGCAATAGAAGACAGGAGGTGATCTTAGCACAAATATTAACTCAGGATGCTGCAACTGGAGAGCAATATCAAACAACGAAGGATACAGAGAGCAGAACCTCATCAAGCACAACCCTGAATACAAAATAAGAAAATATTGTACACTAAATATCTCAATGCAACATGGACTAGGACTCAGAATAATGCGAGCTTAAAGAATATACATATATATGCAATCTCAGATAAATCTTGAAGAGGTATAAACAATTTTACACATCACTATTCAATGTCACCAGGTTCAAGGGTTCAATGCAGTGCATTGATTCTCTTGTGTTAAATCTTGTAGTTGAGAAACTGTGTATGAGGAGGACTCTGACAACCAGAGAGCAAATGGAAATGTTAGGAATTATTGGGAAGTAGCCAATGTCCTTGAATCAGGTCTCGCCTGTTGCTGTTTTATCTCCAGGGGTACATTCCAGTTATGCCACATGTTCCTACTGCAGAGCCTAGCTGAGTAAGAAGTGGAAAGTGTTTGCCATAGATGGCAATGACTAGGGCCAGTGCTTATTATACGAAGCAAAGCAGCTTCACCCCCGTGTACAGTACTCAGGGTAAGGTGCCTGTATGGTGCTTCTGCATTTAGTCTTTATTTTGAATTGGTTAGCAACATTTGCTCATTTTAAAAAATGCATTGGGGTGCAGGGAGGAGGAGAGGAATGACGCTGGAAGAAGCTTTGCTAACTTCACACTTTTTAAATTCTGCTGACAACGGCACTCTTTGAAGCAGCAAATGGCCTTGGTCAGATTTTTGGCAAGCAAACAAATCCACTTTCTAACGAAATCTACAGCAAGTGGAATTTAGGTCACTGCACAGCTGTGTTCAGTTTATTCCCAGCAGCTCTTTAAATATTTAAGAAATGGCCGTCCAATTATGTCACTGTTAAAACAAAAACATTTTTTTAAAAAACAGGCAGTGCACTCATTCAAATATTTCCAGGACTAGCGTTTCCCCTTTCGTCTACAATTCTATGGTTCTCTGTTTTCTAACGTTGGGATACAAAAAATAATTCCTGGTTTCTCATCATAGTACCTTGTTATGTCAACCTGGCTGTGACAGTAAACGAGAGATGTCACGTCCAAAGGATTCCACCACCACCTCTTGCGTTGTCTGTTTTAAACATAAAGTTGCTATACTGCTTTGCCAAGTTATTCAGATGAGTTTACAACATTAAGAGTAAAATAATAAAAGCAATAGAACTAGCTTCCATATTTCTTAGGCAAGGCTGTGGTACGCACAACAGATCAGAAACAGGGGCAGAGCCAGGATTTATGTTAAGGGGGGCAGAACCTCAGTCAGTTAAGTATTTTTATTGATTTTTATTGATTTAGGGGGGCAGCTGTCTTCCCCCCTCCCCTTGGCTACACCCATGATCAGAAACTTCATGGAGGAACTATATTAACAGGTTAAAGTTGCATTTAGACCAGCTGATCTATTTCCAGGGCAAGGAGAGGTGAAGTTTTTCCTTTATCACTTCTTGACTTAAGACTTTTGTTTGTGCTGTTTTTGTGCTTCACACACTACTGGCAGGAGCCTGGAGCCAGGGTGGGACTCTATCCCATGTATCACAATGGGCTAATTTATTTGAGCACCTACAAAACAGAGCATTGCTCTGTTTTTAAAGAACACAGGAAGGCAAGATTGCATGTTTAGACATATTCTTCAGTGTTAAGGTGATTGGTGCATTGTTACCACTGCAGTTTGGAACATCAGGAGAACAGAAAGCTGCCTTACTAAGTTACACTATCAGTCCATCTAAATAGTATGGTCTATGGCAGGGGTGCAGCACTTCAAGTCCTGGGGCAGAATGTGGCCTTCCAAGCCTATCTTTCTCCTCCCCATGCAATGTTGCTGACCACCCAGTGCTATGCCTTCCTTTAACTGCTTCTGCCTGGCTGGAAGATGCCACTGAAGTATGATAGTGCCCATTGCTTGCCTATATTTAGAGGTGCATGTGTAGAAACCTGTGACTTTTGCATGGGCTGAAATATAGCCTACTGTACAAATGAGTCACATCTATTGCTCCACCCACTTTTGCCTCTGGCCGCGCCCACCAATGGCATGCATCCCCAGAAGGTTGTCTACACCAGTGTTTCCCAACCTTTTTTGGGCAAAGGCACACTTGTTTCATGAAAAAAATCTCGAGGCACACCACCATTAGAAAATGTTTAAAAAATTAACTCTGTGCCTATAGTGACTATATATAAAGTAACTCTCTTTAATAGGAATCAAATAAACACAAAGAAAGTATTTTATAATTACTTTATTATGAAATAGTAAGTAAACAGAAATATGAAAAATTATAAAATACTTGATTCAGTGCGCAACCTGGGCCTGTCTGGCTGAACACAAAGCTGATATTCTGGCTGGAATCGAAGAAAGACACACACGTAGCTCTTCGTCAACAGCTCTCAGTCTCTCTCTGTATTTAGTTTTTATAGCAATCATGCTTGAAAAGCTCAACTCACAGAGATATGTAGTGGAAAATGGGAGCAATGCAATGTCAAAATAGCTTTGTTTGCCAGAAGGGGGAACTCCTTGGCAGTTTCCAACCAAAAACTGTCCAAAGGTAGATCAGCAAATCTTAGCTTGAAACCACGATTTTGTCTCAGTTCAGTTAGCTCCTCCTGCTCCTGTAAAGTCATGTCCTTTCCACCAACTGATGCTGAGCTATAAGGGTCCCTAACCCAGTCAAGGCATTCAGTGGAGACTGAAGAGAAATAAAATGACAACTTCCCCTCGAGAGTTTTTAAATGTTTACCTATTATCTCACACAGTGCAGCAGTGTGAACACCTTGCCATTGCTTGGTGAGTGTGAACATTTCAAGATTGCCACTTTCCACGTGTTGATGCCAGAGTTGCACCTTTGAACGGAATCCATTTATTTTATCTGTACTTGTAAGCAGGTTTTCATTTCGGCCTTGCATTCGTGTGTTCAGTTCATTCAGATGATGAAATATATCTGCCAGGTATGCCAGCCTTGCACACCACTCATCACTTGCAAGCAGTTTTGCGTAATCTGTCCTCTCATTTGTCAGAAACACTTTAAGTTCCTCCCGCAGCTCATACACACGAACCAAGACCTTGCCACGCGACAACCACCGGACCTCCGTATGAAACAGCAAGGTTTTATGCTTCGCTCCCATCTCCTCACACAAAGCTGCAAATATGCGACTTTTCACGGGTCGTGACTTTACAAAGTTTACCATGCGCACAACATCATCCAACACATGAACTAGGTCTGCTGGTAAAGTCTTGGCTACGAGGGCCTCACGGTGCAAAAAACAATGCGTAACAATCACATCTGGATTTCTTTCCTTCACTCTGCTTACAAAGCCTTTGGTGTGCCCGACCATGGCTGCAGCTCCATCGGTGCAGACACTTGTGCAGTTTTCCCACTTAAGTCCTCCTTGTTCAAGGTATTCTGATGTGACCCGAAAAATTTCTTCTCCTGTTGCTTTTTCTGGCAATGCCTTGCAGAAAAAGAAGTTTTCTCTAATTGCATCACCATCAACGAAACGCACATTGGCCAAGAGTTGAGCATGTCCACTGATATCAGTAGACTCGTCAAGTTGTAATGCAAATTTCTCACTGCTATGGATCTTTTCCAAAACCACACTTTCAATGTCTGCAGACATGTCATTAATACGTCTGGAAATTGTGTTGTTTGAGAGAGGGACTTTGGCTATTTCCTTAGCTGCTTCAGGTCCGAGCATCTCCTCTACAATAGCTTTGCAGGCGGGAAGTATTAATGTCTCTGCCACAGTGTGCGACTTTTTTGACTTGGCTATAAGTTCAGCAACGTGATAGCTAGCTTTAAGACCTCTTTCATTTACCTTTGAGGTTTGTCTCATGAAAGTTGCCTGTTTCTCCGTGTTTTCACGCAGGCGAACAAAATAGTCCGCATTCTTGTTTTGAAGCGAAGGGTGTTTCGTTTGGAGATGGCGTTTAAGTTTGCTTGGGACCATAGCACTGTTAGCTAGCTTTTCACCACACACCACGCACAGTGGAGTTGGTTGGTTTGCATCTCCGGTGAAAGTAAATCCAAATGAAATATAGCTTTCGCTATATTTCCTTGTGCCAGAGAATTTGCTTGAGCTAACCATCTTTGCTTTCTTTTCATGCCCACTCATACTTGGGCTCTCATCTGGCTCCAAATTTTGTTCAGAGTCCAGTTCTTTTCTTTTCAAAAACTTTTCCATCACTGCAGTATCCGGCCTCTCTGCAGTGCCGACTCCTGCTGAGTCCTGGTCTCTGTGCTCGGGCGGGAAGGAAGTCGGAAGATTATGTCCTACTGTGATAGGTCCAGGCTGGAGTCCGGACCAATCACAGCCAGGCAAAAACATGCATACTGTGTGAGCTCAATGCAGCGGCTCATTTCTGCAAAGGAAAAAAAATGGGTTTAGATGGGGGGGGGAGAGGCGGGGTAGTCGTTATACAGAACAGTTTTTACTGCCTGTATTACAGGCACGAATTATACATGGGAATGGCGGGAAGAGTGACGGCAGCACACGCAAAAGCGGAAGCCACGAGGTCCCCGAGGGCCTAGTGTGCCGCGGAACAGCGGTTGAAAAACACTGGATTAGAGAGGGCAAGAGCAAGGCAATTTCCATTGAGCTTCATGGCTAAGCAAGGAATTGAACTTCCAACATGGATGTCTTCCCCAGTTTACAGAAAACCTAAAAAGGTTGAAAAACACTAACAGCGGTTGAAAAACACTGTAATAAGCCAGGCAGCCAACAACTTCAATGTGAAGGAGACAGTCGTCCCACCCCGCCACCATCTACTAATGAGAATGACTGCTGCTGAATCTGGTGTAACTCTCCAACGATCTGACTTCACCCACGAAGGCGCACTCTTCCATTGTCCATTGAGCCAGACAGATGCCATCCAATTGCCACTGACAAACGGATACAGACCCCCTTTTTTTTACAGCACAGCTCGCACAAATGTACACGGAACACCCTTTTCGAATTAAAACACACAGTCTCACGAGAGCAAGGAGCAGCGATTTTATATTTTACGAAAAGAAGTCGCTAGTCCTCATGGTGACAGGGTGGAAAATATTTAAAAGCAGAACCACCTTGAGGAAGGTGGAGCCATATCACATCCCGGCAGGAGGCCTAAATTGGTGGAACGCTCAGGCCCCGCCTATTCAAAGAGGACTATTAATTTGGAGAGCTGCTATCTTCCAAACTGTGAGACGACGTGGCAAAAGGGGAGCCCTGAATGGAACTTTGCGTTTTTGTCTGTTCCGTTCATCAAGCTTTTGTTTGAGATCTGCCGCCTCTTCCAGCGCAGAAGATCCATTGTCTTGATTTGTGCTCGAGAACCCCCCCGCTGCACGCGCACCCCGCTTCTCCTCCCCTTTCGGTTCATACACATAGTCTCCCCCTATTGCAATTGTAGGATTATTTATTTTTAAAACTCAACACAGGGGCGGGGAGAAAAGCTTAAACATTTCCCTTAAGTAAAGAGGAGGTTGTGTTAGCTCAACAAGGCTCCAATCCTAAACACAGTTCTTGAAAGCACACACCCTACAGAATACTGCGAGGTTTACGGTACATCCGATGGCAAGCGCAATACCTACCAGGCTCAACGCCGGTCTCGCGCTGCCGCTTCCCGCGCTCTCAAGGACCCGGGAGGAGGAAGGCGTGAAGGGAATCCCGAAGGCGCGAAAACCTCGCGCATGCGCAGGCCTTCCGCCTGCGACAGCCCAGTAGCCGGCCGAAGCGAGCGGCGATGGGATGTGGGAGGGAGCTCGCTCGCCGCCCCGCGTGTACTCGCCGCCGCCGCCCCTCGCCGCCCGACTCGCCCACCTCCCTCCCACGGCACACCAGGCAACGTCTCGCGGCACACTAGTGTGCCGCGGAACACCGGTTGGGAAACACTGGTCTACACAGCAATGTGGTCTTCAAGCTGAAAAAGGTTTCCCACCCCTGGTTTACAATGACCAGGGTTTCAGGCATTGTCAGTCCTAGTGGAGATGGGAATGAACCTGGGACCTTCTGCATGCAGAGCAGATGCCATACCACCACTGAGCTGCAGAAGGGATGAGCAAATTTGAGGGTCCCCCCCCCCATTTATTGTTTTTCCAGTCTTAAATCCAGTTCTTCACATTTCCAGATCAGTTTGCAATTTTTAGGAAATAAAGTCCCCATGAAAATCCACCAACACTTTAGAAAAACTGTCTGCGGCTCCCTCGGCTTGTAAAGCGAGATGAGCGGTGCAACCCCAGAGTCATCTGCAGCTGGACTTAACCGTCAGGGGTCCTTTACCTTTAACTTTTTTTTTTAGCTCCCTCCTATGCAAAAACTCCTATGTGAGTTTGCACAAGTACCAGTGCTATTTTTCTAGAAAAAGAGGTGCCCTCACCATGAATGCCTCTATTGTTCTGTTATAACAGTAATGGCACCACTTGAGTGGTGCTGGAACTGAGTTCCTGCTAAAAACAAACAAAAGCCCTGACGATAACTATATGGGAACCTAAGTGCCATGATGCTCCTGCACTCAAGAAAAATTCTCTCTCTCTTAATATCTATAAAGCGTACCTGACTGTGAGACTTGGGATCATTCCTGAACACTCCCAAAACAATATGCTGACCTTCTTGGCAGTTTGTAGAAAGGACAAACCGCTGCTCTTGCTAAACATAGAGTGCACTGAAGCACCTGACGTCAGGCAATTAACTACAAGATGGTTTATGGATGAGAAGCCTCCTGGGGGACCACTAAATCCAAAACAGTCAGCAAACCCTGGAATTAAAAGCCTTGTGTGTTTACCAAGTGGAAAAGGACCAAGAATTGATCTCAGAGGAAATTCTTAAGTGTTCCTGCCGTTTCCCCGACTGCAAGCTGCAGGGTTGTTGGGTTTTTGTTTGTTTTTTTGGTGGTTTGCTGTTGTTGCTCACTAGGGAATGATTTGGAAGGTGTATAAATAGAGGTAAATAAAAGTAGGCATGGTGTGGAGAACGTGGATACAGCAGCACTAGAACACATGGACATTCAGTGAAGCTGAATGCTGGAAGGTCCAGGGTGGGAAAAAGTACTTCTGAGCACAGCACACACTTAAAACTGTGGGATTCTTTTCCACAAGTTGTAGTGATGGCCACCAACCTGGATGGCTTTAAAAAGAGTTTTTGGCAAATTCCTGGAGGATAAGGCTATCAATGGCTACCAGTTATGATGGCTATGTTGCTCCTTCACTGCTGGAGGCAGTAGGCCTCTGAATAACAGTGACTGGGAGTCAAGAGCTCTTGTGCTCTCTTGAGAGTTTCCCATGAGCATCCGGTTGGCCACTGTGAGAAATGGATGCTGGACTAAATGGGCTACTGCCCTGACCCAGCAGGCTTCTTCATACATGCTGGAGGAAGAGAGGAGTTTGCAAGCTGCTGAAGAGTAACACTCAGTGGTTAAGGTTGTCCCTGCTAAACAAGTGAATGGTGACAGCAGTATCCGCCTTTGCTCCCCTTGTGCTCTTCCTCTGGGTGGCTACATGGATTGGGACTCAAAAGGAAAAGGCACGCTTTATCGTGATTGGGTAACAGAACTGGGAGCAAGAGGAGAATTTTCAGCTGAAACAACATGAGGGGGAAAGGGTTAAGCGCAGCCCTTATGTGCCAGGCTGCACACTTCAGGGATGGGCAACTTTTTCCAGCCGGGGGGCAACCTCTTAGTGGCTGTATGCTAGTGACGGGCAGGGTGAGCTGTAAAATTCAGGCATGGCAACAGATTTATTTCTGCCAACCATGTTAATATACAGCTGAAATACAATCATCTCCAAGTGATTCCACAACAGTGCAAAGTGAGGGAAAGTGTCATGTGGGGAAAGTCCTGAGGGCCGCACTGAGAGGACTGGAGGTCACATTTGGCCCCCCAGGCCTGTGGCTTCCCATCGCCATTCCATGTTGTGAGATGAGATAAGGGCTTAGGAAAAAGAGACGCACTAAACCAAATTTCAGCTCTGCCCTCACACTACATTCCAACATGGTTATTGAAGTGCAATGGCTCTTATAACCCAATCCTAGATATGTTTATTTAGTCTACTTAATTTTAAGTGAACTTATTTCAGGTAAGCGTGGTTACAGCCCACAATGCTAGAACCAAAGTGCAAGTAGAAGCAGGAACCGCTAACGAGAGGTTGTTGTTGTGTTTTTAAAAACGGAAAATAATTAGTGTGTTCCTCAAACAGAATGGACATTTCCTCTTTGACGTTCAGTCGACACATGGCATGACTCCAAGCAGATAAGATCATTCCTCTAGAGGCCCATGTAGAGTAAGTGACCATTAAAAAACATTCTTACCCGTTCAGGAAAAACAACAGCCCACCTTTAAACTGGAAACTTGAACAAATGTGCTTTGCCTTAGCAAAGTATCAACACTGTCCAGAGCTGTATTATTATCATTTTTTAAGACATCACTAAGAGTGGGGCTGTTTACTGTTAAAGGGGGTGGCAAGTTTACTGAGCACCACTGATTGGTTGAGATGGGGAAAAAGGAGACAATCAAGACATATGCATCCACAGCACTTTGGGTAAATATTATGGTGGCAGTAACTACCACAGTGAAGCTGTGCCCAGTTCTCGGAACTACATTAGTAACGCCAGAAACAGTCTAATCAGAAGTCACATCACATGCTCCACAGAATTGTTTGCACACAGTTTCCACAGAATTTCATCCGGTAAAGAATGAACCTTTGTACAATAGATTCCTCTTGTTTAATAAGGAAGATATTGGATTGGTTTGTGTATACTGTATACACTATGATTCCCGGCTGTTTTTACAGGAGGTTTTAAAAGGTGTGGGGTTTTTTTAAAGTAACATTTATATGTATTAATTTCATATGGTGGTTTCAACTTTTGACAGCTGTTTTGCAATTTATAATAATAATTTTACCAAGAGAAAGGAAAATAAAACACAGGTTGTAGTCATGATTTAGTAGTTACTTTACATAGCCAATCTGTGCTGGTCTACAGCTTCTGTTTGGGAGCATTTCTAAAAGCCCTGCTTTCTGAATACAGAATGAAGCTGAGAGAACACCCACAGTATGTAGCTCACAGCTTATGCAAAAATAAATTTGTTAGCCTTGTAAGTTTCCTGTTGTCTATCCTATGTAATTGTTTTTTATCTCAAAATTTTGCTTGGTGGGGCATGCTCCCTTGTTATTTTGTTTATTGCCAGCAGCCTCATACCTCAGGAATTCTAAGAAGCAAACAAATAATGAAAAATCAGTACACTTTTGAAATCAGTGGTTAAAATCAGTGCTGTCTTTAAAGCTTGAGCCCACCATCTTGTTTCAAAACAGCATCAAATTGTATCCAAGCATAGATGAAAACCTGGGACTATCCTGCAAAAATTGTTAACAATACCTTATGAAGTGTCCA